CACCCACAATGTATATAGTGAAGACTTTTTCTCACTTACTTTGTTCCCCATGCTTGCACTAGAGAAGTAAACAGATAATTACTTAGCAGACGTCACTTACTAGTAGTTACCAGAAGTAGTTGTTATTGATTTTCCCCCAGAAGATAAGAAATTGAACCCAGAAACCATTATCCCCCAGAGCCTCATCCTTACCAGAATCCCCCACATCCTCAATCTCTCAGCAGGTGACTTGTACAAGACATCAGTAATAAATCTCATACTAAGATTACCCACAGAAATAGCCACACCTTTTCTTTAATTCTTAGTGTAACTCTCTCCCAAGCCTTGACAAGAGGGCAGCTTCATCAGCATCCAAGTCTTCAACTCACATTTTCCCTTGTGTAGTTGTTCTTTTCCCCTCTAAGCTCTTTTCTTTAGCTTGAAAAGTTCCACAGCGTTAGTGCAGAAAAGTGCAATCCCGCTGAAACTACACTAAAACTTAGGGCATTTTTGTGCCCTCTGTGCGTAGTGTTAGCACAGTTTTGCGCATCTGCTAAAACTACACTAAAATATAGCATATTTTTGCTACACTACAGTTTGTTGTGACATAGGTCAAGGTCTCGACTGCAACACATGTCACAGACTTGTAGATAGTTTAATTTGGAAGATTTTCCTTCTATGAATGAAAATCATCATCTTGACCAAGCTTACACTCTAACACAGTTAGTGTAGCTGGCCCACTGTTGTCTCTACTGCTGCATTCCCAACTCAAGAACTGGTGACAAGACTCCTCTTGAGTTACTATTCAAGGTAAAACCCAAGGCAAGTAAACTGTTCTGTTTGTTGCAAAAGGCATAATTCATGTGCCAATAGAACAACAGACAAAGCTTGAAGCAACGGTGGGCCAGCTACGCTAACCGTAGAGTAGTGATTTTTTGCTACAATTTAGCGTAGCGTTAGCGCTTTTTTTCATTTTTTGCGCTAACGCTACGCGCATGGGGCAAAAACTTGCGCTAAATTTTAGCGTAGCATTAGCACAATTCCCCCCATCTGCGCTAACGCTACACGCACAGGCCGCCAAAAACTGCCCGCTACGCTGCGTTACAGTGATTTTTAGCGGTTTTGAGGCGTTTTTTGCCGCTAAAAACGCTGTAGCGTAGCGGCGCCAGCGGCGCGCTAACACTACACCAAAAAATGGCTAGTGTTAGCGCCGCTACAGATTAGCGTAGCGCAGCATCTGTAGCGGCGCGCTAACACTATGTGAAAAAAAAATTGGTGCCGCTACGCTAACGCTACATGGGCCCGTAGCGGCCCACTGCTGCTTGAAGGGCATGGCCAGGAAGGAAAAATACTTGGGTAACCTGAGTCTGGCACTGGTTGGATGTTCTGGGTTCCTAATGAAAAACAGATGATTCATTCAGCATCCGTGATGTTTCCAGAGTTCCAAAGCCTCCTGGTGAAACCTGTGACAGCAACAACAAGTCTGGACCTAGTTCCCAAACCAAAGGCAGACAAGGTTAATGATGATTTCATCCTCAATGAAATACTTATGCTTACTTATTATCTGAGGAGCTGTGCAACTTCCAAACCTTGGTAAAAGATGAATTGATAAAGTTTGCAACCAGCTCCTGTGCTGTTGACAAAGGAAATCATGGCAAACAATTGAAATTATACAGTCACATTGAAGACTTATTTGCCAATGTAGGCCATAATCTTCCTATACCCAGCTCCAGTCTGCATTTCCTTAGCAAAGCAAAACAACAAAAATAGTATAAAAAAGAACTTACTATATTCCACTTCAAATTTCTTTATTGGTTCTTCTTTTCTCTTCTGTTCCATTTGCCTTCTGATCTCCATCTCCCATCACAACTGATGAATGAAAAGATAGAGAAAAGAAAGGCTAATTCATTACCATCAAGCCTTTAGCCTCATTTATGGCCTACACTGGTGAATAAGTCTTCAATGCAACTGTATGACTTTTCAATTAACAGTTCTTAATCCAGATGATCATGCCAGGATCCCACCAAGTCAATTTCCAGATTTCAAGACTTGCAAGGGGACAGATCATTTGCCTTATTAGGGGACCATATATAAGAAGGGGAAGTCCACATGCAGCAGAGTGCAAGGCCAAATGTCCAAGAAGCTTGAAGGGAGCAAAGGCACTTTAGAATTACCAAAAGAAAACAAAAAGGTGCCAATCTGCTTGGGCTAGAGTGAGTGATCCAGATGGGATCATGTGTCTAGGGTTGGAGTTGGTCAGACACAGACATGCCGGGGACAAGAGTATAGTAGGAAGTGCTCAGCTTGACCTGAATCTGATCGAGTGGCAGTTGTGGTGCCACCTTGCTTACGTAATCCGTCTTGTCCCGAGCCAAGTCGCGTCTCAAATTATAATATGATGACGCGCATTGAGGTGTTTGTGTAGCACATGATGTCCTGCTTACAAAATGTGGATGTTGTGTATCTTATTCTTAGGCGTGTTTCTGAACTGACTGTACAGTTCTCTTCGACAACTTCTCCGGAGGCATGACAGCGAGTGGACTGCTACGTAGCCACCTCTAATAAAGTACTCAGTAGTCTACTCATTGTGCTAGTCTGCATAGTGGCCTTGATCTCGACCCTTCGTCGCGTCAATCTTTCCGTTAGTAGGAAGAAAAAGTGTGTAGAACTTCTCCCTTCCCAGTCATCAACGCTCTTTCCTCTCTTCGAACGCACCATCATTCTCCCTTACCATCCGAGGAACACCCTTTGCCTCGAGTCGCAAGCCTTCATCTGATACTCTCACCGGCCTCATTCGCTCTCGCCTCGGATATTCTTGCCAGCTAGAAGTTATACTCAGCCAGCTCAGCCATCCTTGCCTTGTAAGAGAGCCGTTCACAGTCTTGATCAGTATGTTCACATCCTTGGGCTCTGTTCCTCATTTCTTTCTGCTCCTAAACATGTGCTTTGTCTCCTTCTGACTTCCTGCTCTTCTCTTTTTCTTTTTTTTTTCTCTAACCAAGCACCCACCCACCGACCCACCTGAAGAGTCAGAACCTTCTTCCACTTTCGTATATTGGTTCTAACCGGAAGTTCCAAATTTGGCTACCACATCAAGACGTGACCTGTCCCGACCGGTCTTACGTACTTCGTTATTTACCCAGACGCTCGCTCAACCACACTATGGATTCTACTGCGTTTGCCTCCCCTTACCCACAAACTCCTACTCCCGGTGGCTCGGCTACCGCCAACCAACTCAACCGACCCCCACTCACCTCACTCAAGCCATTCGGCTATTCCGGCGAACCATCAAAGCCCTTCATCCGCAAGCCCCACACACCTCACCCACTCACCCAGGTCAGCATGATCGACAGTCTCTCAACCATCGCCAATGAGTCTCACTCCAATAATAGAAGACCCAATAATATCACCCTCAACCAAGCCACCAGGAATGAACCGGAACAGTCCTTGGAAGAGGACCTGCTGGCGTTTGAAGAAGAGCAGCGAAATTTCCAACGTCGACCCATCATCTCTAGGGCATCACGCGTATCCGATGACCTCACCGAAGATGAGGAATTTGGACAGGATGATCAAAGCAGTCGTGGCCAACAATCCGCCCAAACGACTACCAATGATGATGATGATGAGGAGGAGGAGGAGGAGGAGGAAGAGGAGCAGGACTCTGATTTCGATCGAGATAGCGACTCTCTTAGAATCGGCCTATCCTCCCTCTCCCCCCCTGGGATCGGCCGCGCCTCTCACCATCCCGGCCAGTTATCGACCGTAACGCTGGATCCTGAGGAAGACTTCACCTACCAAGGCGCTCAAGACTTTTCCAGAGATCTTTCTGCACTCTCTCTATCTCCAATCCGAAGACCCTCAGCACCAACGCCCTCAACGCGCAAGTTCTCTTGCCAATGACCAAGATCTTACCATGGACGACGACCCAATCGCAAGTCAGTCATACTCCCGTCAGTGGCTTCCAAGGAATGGCACGCCAGCTCAGACATGACTTCGAACAGTTCGGCGGTGTCCCTTCCCCCGTACACTCAAAGACGAAGAAAGCAAATCCTATGCGTAAAGAACCCACCACTCGCGGGGGAACACTCAAAGGCGGTCTACCTACCAACGACGGCATTCGAGCTAAACGCGTCTTTGGCTCTGATCTAGATCAAGGTCTCAAACCTCCTCGACTCAATCAGCTACATTCTGCTGGATTAACCTCTACTCCGCCCGTCAAGCTTCATCCATCCAACCCCACTCAACAAAATCAAAACCAACAACGGGGAAGAAACACATTGGCTGAGCTGAAGAATCAGATCCCCTCTCGACTTCCTCCCAATCGACTCCACAGGCCAATGATACGGATCGTCGATGCTACATCTGATAGCAACACTCCCAGTGGATACGATCTATCATTGGCACCTGGCGCTCGCAAAATCGTTGGAAATTCCGTACGCGTGCCAGATGTCACCGGGCTTACCGATGCCCTCTGTAGCCCGGACAAGGCAGATTTCCCATCGGGCAACACGCTCAAAGGAGTGAGGTCCACGAACGAAAGTGCACGGCCAGGTCAGATTCTCAATCAGTCTCTATACCGCTCATGGTACTTGACCACTCAAAAAACTCATTTGACTCATCCTTTTAGATCCAACTCTTCACGAAGCTTTGTCACTCTTACGACGCCGGTTAGGCACGTTGGAAACCGAAAATGAAGCTTGTCAAACACGCATACGCGATCTCCAATCCGAGCTCAATCGTGCCAATCAGGCACCAGTCGCCCACGCCGCTCCAGCGTCTCATGACCATGCCGATAACTCAACCAGAGTCACCAACAAACCAGCTGTCGAGCGCATCGTCCAAAAACTAAAGGCTCATACTCGTCGTCTTGAAGGTGTCATCGAATCACATGCCATCGCCCTTGATGAATTGAATGCCTTCAAGACTCGCCACAAGAATGTCCGACAAGAGCTTCGCGGGGTCAAAACTGAGGGGCGACAGTTGTCCGAGGAAGTGGATGACATGAAGACCAGTTTGGAAGGCCTGACTTCGGAAGTCCGTGAGATTCGTAGTGTGATCGAGAGGCTAGTCAAAACCGCATCTCAACCTGAGCCTATGAGCAAGAACCAAGTCCCAGGACCCAGTCAACCAGGCATGAGCCGTCGGGGCACTGCGACCACTAAAATCAACGATCCTAAGGCACCAATGTCCAAAAGCCAGCCAACTGTCAAGCGCCACTTACCCAGCACATCGTCACAACAGCCTCCTCAGTCTCAGGCGACGCGTAATGACATTGAAGACTGGCGATCGCAAACATCTACGATTCAGATTAGCGGACAGAGCTTTCTTGGGGTTGGTGGATCTGTCTCTTGATGATTAGTCCAACATAAAACTGATGGTCTTTCCCTCACTTATTATTATTTTTTAAAAAAAAACATTTAGTCCGATGAGGTTGAACGATTAAAAAGAGATGTTGAGCAGGAGCAACTCCTTCAACATGCTGGCCAAGGACTCACCAAAGCCCGGTCGAATAATCCTCCGAGTGCTTCTAGCAGTCGTCCCCCGCCTCTTGCTAAACCAGTAGCCACGGGCCCCAGTAACAGAGCACCGCCGATCCGGACCAGCTCAGCTCCTACGATCAAGTTCGGAGGAAACGTCGAGCCAATCAAAGCGACTGATGAACTCTCGAGGGGGGAAGCCATACTCAACTCGCTCCCGAAAGGCCGGCATGACGACATGAGCTGCTCGCAGTGTCGCCTCAGACGACAAAAGAACGGCACCGCTAGCAATCATCCGCTGTCTAATCGAACCAATAGCGCTCCAGTGGCCCCCATGCCTGTTAGTAAGACAAAAGAAGAACGGGATGAACCTGAGGATGAGGAAGAAAGCCTGCCACCTCAAGCGGTCTTGGTGGCCATCTTGAAAGATCTCGAGGTGGACTTTGAAGTGCATCGAAAGTAAGCCACCCCTCCTTTTTTTTTGAATATTTATATAAGAATCAGCAGAAGCAAAACTGACTCATCATCCACCTAACCAACAGAATCTTTGTCGAATTGTCTGAGACTTATCGGAAGATGAACCCAGCGTCGATCCAAATCAGCAAGCGGAAAGCTCTGGCTCAACATTTGCGGGAGAGTGTGGATACCCTCGAAAAGAAGGTAAGTTTTGGTCCCCTTGGCAATCCAATAACACTCCACCGGGTTTTTTTTTGACCAGTATGTTTTGTACTCTTCCTATTCTAGGCGGGTCATATCAAGCACTTATATGACCTGTTACATGTCAAAGATCTGCCACTCAAATCAGGACCATCATCCAAGAAGTAATCAGACTTTGTTCGTCCTCCTCGAGAAACCGACCATCAAAAGGAATCATTTTTGCGCGAATCACGTCATCTCGAACCTTTTCTTTTCTTTCGATACTTGAGCCTGCATCATCATCTCTTTTAATCTGTTCAGCTTATAGCACAGATTTATATCTGCCATTTTTCGATCATCCTACCCCTTACCCCTCCTCTACCATGTCCATACCAAAAAAAAAAAAACATCCATTCCTCCCCATCTATCAGAGAGAAGCCTTTTTTGTTGGTTGTTGTCGTATGTTGATGATCGATTGATCTTCATTATTTCCTTGTAGAGAGAGAAAGGACAAAGTCAAGATTCGGATTGCTTGTATCTTGCTTGTTAATTTATTCTATCCTATCCGATTTGTTGATCGACTCTACTACTAGTGCACACATGCATGTGTTTTTTTTTTGTTTGTTAATTTTTTTGGAGGAGGGATCTCTTTTTCTTGCTTTGTCTTTCATTGTGTGCTTGTCCTTTTTCTTCTTTTTTTGCTAACTTGTTTTAAATTGATTGTGCACAATAAAACCTCAATGAATTCACCTTATTAATTATCTAACTCATCCTCCTTCTATCATATATGAATACATTTGTAATTTGATAACCCCCATGTCTTTCTTGACTTTCTTCTTGGCTACATAGATTTCCATGGCAACCATTCGACATTTGAGCATCTTTTGAAGTGAACAGGTGACTTTGGTACATATCTGCTCGATCGGGTAATCCCCCGGGTAGCCCGCTGCTTCAGCCTGAGTGACTCACAGCTGAACAAACTCAACCACCAACTTGCACCCACCCACAGCACTCCTACCACCTCAACAAGAACCCACTGGCACCTCTCTGAATCCTGATCCCAAATGACAACGGCCGATCAAACGTTCCTCGGACTGCCCTTCAAGTATGTCTCGCTAATCAGTCTGACACTCCAAAATAGTCTGCTGGCCATCCTGCGTAAGTCATCCTCTCTAGTTCTGCTTAAGAGATTCATCGATTTATCTTTTCCCCACTTCTTCACCTTCCTTTGTTCTTCATCCTATTTATTTATACAAATAAATAAACAATTTCGCATTCTAATCTACTTGATTTCGAAAAAAAAAAACAAAAAACACAAAAAAAACATAAAACAGTTCATCACGTAATTCATATTTCTATCTCTCTTGTCCTCTAATCCCACATACATAGCTCCATTCTCGGGGAAAGATCATGAACTGAAACAAACTGGACAAATCTCAACATCAGTCCCGGACGATCCCGAACACGAAGCTATATTCAGCATCGGCGGCAGTACTGTTGAACGAAATCCTCAAATGTTCGATCTCCTTCCTCGTCGCACTCTACAATTCTTGTAATCAATCATCATCATCGTCATCGTCATCGTCATCGAATCAAGCAAGGCGGGATAATTACCATCCGATCCATACCGGTGGTTAGTCGTGACTCTTATGTAATATCTCAGTCGAACAAAAGCCCTGAATTGATCGTCTGATTCTTAAATAATATAACATATATCTATATGTGGCTAGCTCAAACGAGGTCACCCTCAACAACAAACTATTCCAGGTTTGATCATCATGAGGCAGGCGATTCTCCATTCTCAAGGAAACCGCCGGTGTCGATGTTCGAACAAGACTTTCATGATTGGAGACGATCCTCGAGATCTTGGTCTAGGATGATCATCGACCACTCCAAACAGATCCTCTTGGAAATTATCAGGTTAGTATCTCTTCCTCTCTTTGTCCCTTGATTCCGACCATTTAGACTGTCTAGACGTTGATTTTTTTTTTTTTTTTTTTTGAAAACCCAAAATTATACTCGCACCCCTTCATCTCTTTTTTTTTTTTTCGAAATCAATAACAACCACGACCTCTCTATCGAACCACTTTCAGCGCAGACTGTTGGAAACTCTCGATCCCTGCAGTCCTATACGTGATCCAGAACAACCTGCAGTTTGTGGCAGCTGCCAACCTTGATGTGGCCACGTTTTCGGTGACCTACCAATTGAAAGTCAGTGAAGCAATCAAAGCCCTTTAAAGATTGATTTGAAAGTATAGAATGATTGGATTTCCAGAGAGGATTTATCTAATGCTGGCTCCCATTTGGATTGTAGATCCTTACTACAGCTTTATGCTCAGTTGTGATGTTAGGACGACAGTTATCGGTGACCAAGTGGACCGCTCTATTCTTCTTGGCTGTCGGTGTTGCCCTCGTCCAACTTCAAAACATCTCAACCCAGCCAGGGGGATCATCGAGCAAGAAGTCCCCTACAGATACGGCCGATCGATTTATCGGCTTTATTGCTGTTACCTCTGCCTGTTTTACATCCGGACTGGCAGGCGTGTATTTCGAATTGGTACTCAAGTCATCCAACAAGGTCGATCTATGGATCAGGAACATTCAGCTCTCACTCTTCTCGCTCCTACCGGCGCTCTTTACGACCCTGTTTACCTCCTCAAGCCAAGAGGGTCACATGTTCTCGAACTTTGGATTTTGGGCATGGGCGACGGTCTTGACGCAGGTGATCGGCGGCTTGGTGACTGCTCTGGTGATCAAATTTGCCGATAATATCCTCAAGGGTTTCGCCACCTCGCTCTCGATCATCCTCTCCACCCTGGCCGGGGTGTTCATCTTTGGGACGCCACTCCCGCTCGGCTCCGCCCTCGGCTCCTTGGTCGTCCTGTTCTCTACTTATGCCTACAACTCTTCCTCGGATACTAAGCCTCCCTCCTCGTACCCTCAAGGCAGAGGTCCAACTGGCTTTATTTCACCCCTTCGTAGAGAGAAACAACGCACACTTTAAACTGATCAGTTAACTACATAGCACTTTCTCTTTCTTTTTTCTTTGTTTCGTTTTTGTTGTTATATTCCTTTTTTTCATATCATCATAGAGAAAGAAAGAAAACACGTAGATATATCGCCTTACCTCAAGACTTGTTCAGTTTCAAGATTAGATTGGTGTTTTTTTTTTCGTTCCACAATGATATATATACAATACACACATAGACATCGATGTGGATTTTTTTTTTTCAATGTAAAATGAGTGCAAGCGGAAATCGAAGTCGATTGTGAGTCTTTTGAAGAGAGAGGAGTTCGCAATACTGGTGATGTTGCAGGTTTGACCATCTGCCCCGTTTCAAGGATTGAGGGCATCCTGATTGGTCAGCATGTCCTCCCTCACTTCAAGCAAAACTCAAGCACAGCAAAAAAAAAAAGAAAGAAAACAACAACAACAACCAACAAACAAACAAACAAACAACTTAAACAGACTTCAACCATGGGAAGCTCACAATCAACACCACAGCAAGATACTAACAAACTCAGCCAATGCCCAATCCAACACCAAAACAACAACCCACTCCAATCATCCACCAACTTCAACGAAAGCAATAATATCCCAGAACTCCCACAAGCACCCTCACCAGGACAGAGAACCAAACTATCACTCCAACGCACACTCTCATCCATCCCACGTCCATCATCACCAGCCTTCTCAGCCGAAGAAGAAGACAACACACAAGTGAAAGCACTAGGAAACAGCTCATGTCCAGTCCACCAATCCACACCAAAGAAGGAGAAGGACACCTGGGTCTACCCGTCCCCACAGCAGTTCTACAATGCACTCGTCCGCAAAGGATGGGAGACCCCCGAAGAATCGATCCCGATCATGGTCGACATCCATAATTGGATGAACGAGGCTGTCTGGAACGAAGTCTTACGATGGGAATCCAGGTACTTCTTCACCCCATCATCATCATCATCATCAAACAACCATCCGGTCCAACAACAAGAAGAACAGCAGCCGGAAATCTCGTTGGTCAAGTTCCAAGGTCGTCCACACGAACTCTCGCCCAAGGCCCGCTTCAACATCCTCCTCTCCATGATCTTCCCCAACCTCTACAATCCCGTCAGGCCCTTCGACCGTCACGATTGGTCGATCTGTCGCGAACATCTCCTCAAACAGGACCCGCAGGTCGAGAAATCTAAGCTCTGTCGATACGTCATCGATTACTATAATGGTGGGATCGACGAGGACGGCAATCCGGTCTTCCATTTCGGTCCGTCAACTTCCTTTATAACCTTGCATCTCTCTCTCTCTCTCTCTGCTGTCTCTTATTTCAACTAACCCTTTTTTGTTGTTAAACGTTTAGATGTCCGACCCGCAATTGACGACCTGGACTCGTTGGTCGTCAGAGTCAAAGAATGGGCCCGGATCAAGAACGAGACCTGGTTCAAGACCCCTGACCAATCCACCAAAACACACCCAAATATCGTCCAAGGAGATTCAAAGATCTGATTCACTTGCCACTCTCTTCTTATCTTACAAGCCCAATTCACGATCATTCTTAGCTTCCCCTTTGTTTTGCTTTTTAGACCTCTTAATTAGCTTGATCTCGCTTTTTTTTTCTTGTAGGAGGAATTTGTCGTCGTCTCTCTCTCTCTACATCACCACTCATCGATCCTCGTTCTTGTTCTTGCCATCTTGACAGACTCCAAAAAAGACACACGGCCTGTGAAAGAAACCTAATAGAAGAAACAAACACGTTTTCTAACGTCCGAATTGACGACACTAAAAGTAATGATCATTATTATCGGCCCAGCCTACGATTCACAAATATTATGTTAGACTACGCTACACGATTCCATGGCATGAAATAAAAACAATCTTTTTCGGTTGAAGATCAACTTGATCAGTCAGTCAAAGGTATTAAAGGATCTAGAAAAGCAAGAACTTGTATAAACAAAGCAAGAGTATATACACAACAAAACAAGAGAGAGAAAAAAAAGATAGCGTATATCCAAGAAAGTAGTAAGATAAATTTAGGGGTTGGCAGAGGGGATGAAAGCGGACTCGGCAGAGCTCATTAAAGAATCGCAATCGCGGAAGAACTGGCGACTCAATTTGCGACGATGGGAGACGGGGGTGGTGATATCCGCGGCCAAGGCAGCCACGTAACGTTTGCCGAAGTCCTGCAGGAAGCTGGAGACTGTCTGAGAGCGGAGGACGGTTGTTGAGAGAGAGGTGTTGTCGGGGATGATCTCGCTCCACCAGGCGGCCTCTTGACTGTCCATACTACTACCACTCCTAGTACTACTACTACTACTACTACTACTACTACTACTACTACTCTGGGAAGGCGGGTCAGATGATGATCGAAGCGAAGTGATCGGGGACGCCGATCGGGAAGATAACTCGGTCAAGGGTGATGATAATGGACAAGAAGAGAAACGGACAGATCGATTCGGGATGGCCGAGTCAATCCCGGGTTGATCTTCTTCCTCTTGTTGAAGATGGAAGTGGCCGGATGCAGGCAGAGATTCGGTTGGAGATCGGCTGGGCTGGGAAGATAATTCGGTCAAGGGGGATGAACCGGGCCAAGAACTAGAACAGTGGACAGATCGAGTGGTGATGGCCGAATGATGAGCTACTTCAGACCCGGCGGGAGGATGGGCTGAACTTGACTGATCAGCTCGAGCTGAGCAATCTGCAGGCTCGTCCTGCGAGACTTGTGGTTGGTTTAATGGAGTAGTGGCCGAGGGGGACCGGGTCAACAAGGGGAATTGATGGAGTAGATTATAACGAGTCGGCAGGAGTGGTGCCGGCGGACTGCGAGCGAGTAAGCCGGATTCGGAAGAGTGGAAAGTGCCATCGACTTCTTCTTTCCGTCTCTTGAGTCTCATCAATCCAGTTGCGCTGGCACGCTTGGAGCTGGATGGGGTCGAGCAGCTAGCGGCCAGACCGATGGAAGATCTGGATCGGCCAGCCGATGCTTTGGTGCCGTGGGCCTTGTTCTTCTTCTTGTTGATATTCCTCTTGAGAGCAGGAGAGAGGGACCGGGCGGCAACGATGGAACATTTACGATGACGGAGGTTGCATTCGTCACAGGATTTGCGGGAAGGTGATGTTCTCTGACAAGCGATCTGCTTCCTGAGACATCTGGCGCAAGCTTCTTGATCATTCATATTGGCCATGGCGCTATATTGAGTATTGCAAGCAGAGTCAAGCAAAGGGGCGGGACAAAAACTAATTATTAAGGGCTAGAGAGTCTGTAAGAAGTTAAATAATATGTAACAAAAATCTGTAGATGGTCGGTTGCAGAAGTAGGGAAAGAGTGAAGAGGTGTTGTGAATTTATAATAGTGGATCAGCTGCCACTGGTTGCAGGCCGGGAAGAGCTGAAGTACAGAAGCGATCGTGGTCAAGGGGGCAAGCATTAAGGCCTTCGAATGGGCCAAGTCGAGCATGAGCAGGACTAAGGATGAACCTAAAAGGGCAAGCACAACTGAGGATTGTTGCAGGAGCAAGAACAAAGACGGGCTGATGAAGAACATTGACCATTATCCTAGGTTAACGCATTCAAGACAAAGGTGCGCATCCATCCAATCGGTTATACAATGTCAAAGGTGGGTTTTTCGTCTTTGTGTTTTGATCAGAAAGGAATTCATTGGAATCGGTTACTGGACCCAGCTGATCACTCTTATCAACCTCAACCGAAGCAGGAGGGTGGTGGTAGCTCATGACCAGTTGATCGGCTCGATTGGCTCACCGGGTGCACAGTGGATCTGAGCTGAAGACGGCAATTATATGTGCTCAAACTTGACCCAAGTCCTGATTGAGGCACCTCTAATTTGTAGAGGAAGTTCCCTCACACTCCGAACTTATCGAAGTCCCTCCGAGGAGGGCCGGAAGCTCCTTCATAGGGACTGCTCAAGTTTGGGTTTGCCCCCTGAATAGTGTTAAGAGCCCCACCAAATGTGACTCTACCCAATCAAGCAAAGTCACCACAGGCTTTTGGTTTTTTGGGGGGAGTCAGTTGTTGGGGAGAAATGTTCAGTGGTAAAAAAGTCATGTTTGAAAAAAAAACACACCCAGAAAAACTAGACGTCTACATGTTTTTAGTACAAAAAAACAGTGTGCCTGGTACACCTCCAATGTGCCAGTAAAAGACCCCGCATTGCTGTTTTGAAGACACCCTCTGGCACACAATCTTTTAAAAGTGGTGCCGTCAACCCTACCCCAATCACATCTGACATTGACCTTCTTGATCAGGATGTGGAAGTGTCAGTTCAACTGTCTCCATTCTTGATAAAAGAGGGAAAATGTGGACTTGATACAGTCAATTTTCTTGTATGTATTTCTGGGTTGTTCTTGATGATGACTGAGTTTGATCTGGTGTGCTTGAGGAGATGAGTTGAGTTGGGGAGTAGGTGGTGGTTGAAGTTGAGTTGAGTTGAGTCTGAGGATGAAGATCCATTGGCATTTGGACTGCTTGCTGCTCAGCCAACCCTCCCCAGTGACTGTTCAGCATCCCAAAACCTCCCTCAATCAACATATTAGTTGCTCATTGTCAAGTCCCACATGTGAGTCTCAACTTCAGTCACAGACTTTAGAGATGGTCGAAGGATATCCCTTGCGGATATCCGTTATCTGCTGGCGATACCCGCCAGTGCCAGCGGGTGCGGATGTCCCGTTTCCCCTAAAATCCAGGCGGATATCCGGGTATCCCAAGGGATACCCGGTGCCAAGACAGTGAAAATGTGTTTTTTTGCCAAAAAAAAAAGAAAAAAAAAATGGCCCCCCTCGGCCTAGAGGGCAGAGGCTATGTTGCCGGGAGGAAGTACATACCCTCTCGCCGGGAGGAACCCCTCCTGACGAGCTGGTACACAGACCAGCTCGTCGGGAGGAATCCCTCCCAACAAGCTGGTGTACATATCAGCTCGCCGGAGGAACCCCTGCCAACGAGCTGGTCTAAAATCCAGCTCACCGGGAGGAACCCCTCCCGGCAACCTGGTCTAAAATCCAGCTTGCCAGGAGGAACCCCTCCCAACAACCTGGTCTAAAATCCAGCTTGCCAGGAGGAACCCCTCCCAATGAGCTGGTCTAAAATCCAGCTCGCCAGGAGGGATTCCTCCCGACGAGCTGCTTTAAAATCCAGCTCGTCAGGAGGGATTCCTCCCGACGCGCGTTTGCCCACCAGTAAATGGGCGGGTATCCGCAGATATCCGCGCGGATACCCGCCAGTGCCAGCGGGTATCCGTTGGCGGATGCGGATGCCTATTTCCACTGAAATTGTCAGCGGATATCCGGATTTGAATTGACCATCTCTAGTCACAGTTTTGGTTCCTGTGCTCCTCAACACCTTTATGCAGGCAAATTGTTACAATTTCAAACCACTAAAACTTGTCACCCTACTGAAGGATATCTGGCCCTTTCTGCTAGTCATCCTTGATTATGCAAACCAACCAAACACCAAACTCCAAGCAGCTATTTCAGAGTAAGATACCAAGATCCAAGCAGCTATTTCAGAGAAAAATACCAAGATTGCAAAGCAATGCATCATGATTTCAGAGCTAGGCATCATGATTTCAGAGCTAGGCATCATGATTTCAGAGCTAGGCAACAAGATCAAATCCATCCAACAAGAGATTTGGAAAAAACAGAGAGAAGATGAATGCAGTGTACAACTTTGTGCACTCCATTGAACAAATTGTCTGCCATGGCCCCAACTTTGATGGCCACTGTTCTATGATTATCAAATAAGCTGTTGAATTTTTTGCTCATTGATCTCACTCTCTCTTCCTTTATTCTTCTCTGTCTCATGTCACTCACTCATCACCGGTATTTTCCCTGTTTTCTTATTCAATATGCATAAATCACTGCTCCCACAACTTGTGCACTTTTGTATCTAGACTACTTAAAACCCTAGATATTGAGAAATAAAAAAATCATTGGTTCTTTATCCTTTTTAGATCGTTCCTGGAGGAGCACTTGAGCCCTCCTTCAGTTTTGCTTGGAAGCACTTGAGACCTTCCTGAAAATCCACAAGAAGTGATTCTTTAGGCCTTTCCGCCAAATTTTCAACATAAGCAGTCAAGTATGCAGTAGTAGTCTGATGTGCAGGCTGTGCTGAATCTTGAAGACCAAAGCAGGGAATGCTTACTCAAAGCGAGCAACAAGATCAAGACTTAACAACTTGGGTGTGGACATGCTTCAAACTCAACAGCACAGGGCTTAGTTCTCTCAGCCAACCTGATTACAATCACTCAAGATAACTTTTCACTCAGCCCTACAGAAGTTGTCATGCTCCAAAACCTCCTGACCTGGTTTTTGTCACTACTCCTCCAATTTAGCCATGACCACTAATTGGCACTCTTATATTTAGTTATTTGACCACAGCTATAAGACACTGGAAATTAGCAATTCTGATCCTCTGTTCCTTCTATTGGCCCTTTTCCCCTTAATGGTCTCATCCAAGGCTGAGGTCATCTATCCCTCAGCAAGACTGATTATAATTATAGTTTGATCAACTACTGTATTCTAGCCTGCTCTAATGCCACTTACATCATTATGCTGTCTCACTCACCATATTGGCTTTAATTTTATTGCACTGGTGTTTGTAAATTGTAGCCTCCAGAATGTCAAAAACACACATAGAGTATTGAATTGACAGTGAAAACAGATGTTTAGGGAGTAAGTCTAGATCCATGAATATGTGTTACTTAAAACCATAACTATGGGTTTAAGCATGGCCTAATCTATGCATGTCCAATAGTTTGTAAGTGAAAATGAAAAAGAACCACTTACTCAAAACCTTATAAGTGTGTATGTATAATTTTGAACTCTTCACACCCAGGCATTGTGTTTTCTATAAAGCTTGAACACAATTCCACTCTTGTTGTTGCATTTTATGGATTTACCTTTTTGGCCTTATTAGTTTCAAATATTTTTCTGCCTCAGGTGTCCCAGGGCTTTTGACTAGAGTCTCAGCATATGCTTGGTTGGCCCCACCAATGGGGCAGAAGGGAGTGGTGGGCAGTCCCAAGGAGCAGCTGGTAGGGCCTACAAACTGCTCTGGTTCCAAATATGAACCTCTTTTTTGTTAATTCTCCTCCAAGAATGGGATTGGTGAAATCAAAGTCAAATTGCAATTGGTCCAAGCTTTTCAGAAAACACAATAACTTCATAATTGTACTAACAAAGAACATTGGTGTGCTTGCTCCCCAGGGGGAGGGCCCACATGTCAATCTTGTTTTTGGCATGCAGGGCAGGGTTGATCTTTGCCATCTGCAACTGTACATCCAGACTAACAAAGTCCACATGAAACCAACAATATTATGATTCTACATAGTGCTCAGACAGACTGACCAGCACACTTTGTTTTTTGAGTGTTTGTTTGCTGATCAAGAGAGAAGAAGCAGACACACATCAGGAGCACAACAAATGATTAGATTGGAATCAACTTCAACCAACTCAAGTTGCCATATATTTACGTATTTAAGTTTGTATTTATGTATTAAACTGATAAAAGGATCGATGGGAGTAGTTCATAATCATTTTGCATTCCGACCAAAGAATTCAACCAATGGTTTCCTTGAAGGTTTCAAGCTATGAAAGGGAAAGGGGTTTTGTTTTTGTTGGGGGTGAGGAAGGAGGAGATGATTGTGTATACAGGAAAAACGGAAAGAAGAATAACCAAAGAAGAAAGAGAAGTTAGAATCAAAGAGAAGATGTTGAGCTGAATTGGATTTCCATATGAATTAGAGATGAGTGAGAAAAACTTACTCAGTAGTTTCTTGGATCTCTTTGATCAATTTTTGTCCTTTCTCGGGAGGACAAGACATCGATGGAAATAAGTTACCGACCAGGAACTCCACAAATTCTTCGCCCCTCGTCGTCATCAACATCTTCAAGATACCAATGATTTCCGTTAACACGACTAAACAATGTCGATCAATACAAAACAATTCAATTGAATGAATATCAATTTTCCTTCTTTCTGTCAATCATCATGTGTTTACGGGTTGTATTGGTTGTTCCTTTGTTTGAGAGTTTCTCTTTTGTCCCTCCCCTGACTCCAATTATTTCATTAGTAATAGGAGAAATGAAAACTGACGATAAGACTCAGCATCAGACCAATCGAATCCGGGTTTGCAGGGGATAGCAAAGCAGAGGGGGGCGACCTGATGGTAGAGAAAGAGTTCGAATCCGGGAACGGGGGAGGGACCAGCCTGGGGGGCCTTCAACCAGATGGAGGAGAAGTTCTTGAGAAGACCGAAGCCGAACCTCAGGTCAGGTATCAAGACTTCCTTTGCTTGGAGTTGGTCGATGATTGTCTTCAAGATCGTCTCCAGATGCGGCTGGTTATCTGGGAACCCAAATATACCTTCCAGATCAGTCTCCTCTAACCTTCAAACTGATCACAGGTACTTTTTTTCGCAGAAAAATGAAAAATGGGATACTGACTAGGTGAGACGAAGATCCCATGCATTTGAGCACCGATGATTGAATTACATAGATTGAAATACCCTCGTCTCAATTCAGACTGACACATCACATCATCCGTGCCGGTGATCGGCTGGTCGAGGAAATTGATAATTTTCGAAAACAGCGGTAACAACAAGTTATCTAAGAGCGAGATGAAATTTTCCTAGGTGTGGTTAATTAATTATGTGATAAACGGTCTATCAGTATAGTTTATTAGGTCTCAATCAAGATAGAGAGAGAAGTTGAATGATAATATAACTCGGTTGATACCTTGTATTTATGAACCAATTGTCCCACAAACGATAAAAACTCTACCAACTCGGGCTTAGTTAGTTTGTCAAGTAAGCAATTGATTAACACGGGTACGTGAGGTAGAGCCTCCATCCCGATGGTAGCTACGATCTTGTGAAATGATGAACGAGTCTATTAAAGCTTTGCGAGATGTCAGATGTGTTCAAGATGTAGTGTGATCAGCGGAGAAAAAGACAGAAAAAAAGCTGACCGCATCACGAAGAACTCGAATATCATTCAGCCTTTCGGTGACCCTCATGATATCATCAGTTGCTGTTTTGAATACTTGTAACCATGGGAAAGTGGTTGAGGAGGAAGTATTGGATGACAAATTAGGGAAGCCTTTGGCAATCGCGCCGACGGCCATGATAGAATGATGAATCTTCAAGGCATTAGTCAGATCGGTGGGATCCAGTGGACGATTTTTGAGTTCAGTTCTCATCTGAGTGATCAAGGGCTCAAGGATCGATTGCAAGCAGACGATCTGTTGTTCAGGATTGGCTGAGAAGAACGAGACGAGGATCCCAACAGCTTCGAAGAGGTAGAGTTGACTGTCCAGCACGCTCGAAGATTGGACTGCCTTCATCAGGATATCATGCTCATCTCCTGATCCGTTCGATACCGTTCGATTAGGGAGCTCAGCTTCAATGACGATCAAATCCTGTCAACTCTTTTCATACATCAGTATCGCAAACTCTCCAATCAGCAAGCCACTATTTGGGAGAGCAAAAAATGCACACCTGTAACTGATCAATTATGGCTTGCCAATCATGAGGATGAAAGTGAGTCTGGATAGCAGGTTTTCCTTGCAAGACAAATCGGTAGAACAGGTAACAGCAACGGTAGCGAATATTGAAGTCCGAATTATGTAAACCCCTACTCAAGAAGAGAAAACCCGTCAAATGCTGAAGGTAATTTTGGATAAAAAAAAAACTTGAATGGCTATTCACTTACCGGTCATCTAAGAAGGTGGGCAAGACATCCTGGATCGCCCCCGTGAAGATTTCGAAGAATTCATGGTAACGGGTAACGCACTCAAACCACTGAACGGCAATCGAAGGGTGAGGGAATTTGGTGGTCAATGCCTTGGAAGCCTTTAGTAATAAGTTTCCGAGGCTAGACAGTGGGTACTGAGAGTAGTTGATCTTGTAGTCTTTATTTTTGTTGTGTTTTTTAATCTCCTCCGGTGGGATCATAACGTAGGATCGGAAACTCGTGGGGCCAGAACCTGTTTTTTTTTTTTTTTTTCAAAAACAATAAATACATCAAATGTACGTCTGACATCAATCTGACTGTGCAGTAGTTACCCACCTCTAACAGCCTCGCCATAGTTGTAAAGCATCACCAGAGCAAGTTCGATCTCCTGCCAACAAACGTTAGAAGCGTTTCCTCCTTCCGAGATAATGTGATCTAATACGTTTGAGATGAGTGGATCGATAGTCTCTTGAAACAAGGTCTCATCGATGACCGCAATAGCTTCTATGATGGTTTTCAACTGCCGACGACGATCATGATAGACTACCATATCTTCATCTTCGGTTTCGCCAGGCAGGGCAGGGGGTTCCCACTGGAAGAGATCGTCGGGTGGATAGCGGACCTTGATGACGATAAGCCGTAAGAGCTGAGAGAGGAATGTGCGCTTCTCCTGGTTCAGATGAGAGTCGGGTGACAACTTCTTGTCTTTTTTGTAGCGTGACAAGATTGCTGATGAGAATGGGAGTACGGATGCACACGAAGCAAATACGTCCTCCTCCACGAATGATAAGAGTAATGGTAAGAGTTGAGTAGCCAGACCGAGTGAGGCAGCTTGGAATTCCAGAGGCACCGAGCTATCGTCGCACACTTTACATAGTTCGACACCCATCCCATTCAAGATTCTTGCGAGACGTTCGTTGAACTGATCTTCCTCATCACTCCATTCGCCTGCCTGCCGTCGGGCATTATTTTCGGTCTTGAGAGTCTTCAAGACATCCACCAGGCCCAATAGGTTATAGAGTTGGATTCTATTAGCTGCGGGCATCCCTTTAGTGACGATACAGATCAACGCGTCGGCGGCAGCTAATCGGATACCGATGTTGGAGAGTCGCAGGGATTGGAATAGGAATGGGATCCAAGTTGGTGTGACGATGAGGGAGATGTCGATCCAGGAAGCGTAATCTTCGACGACCCTGATACCCATCTCAAGACATTCCTGGGCCTGCTTTCCGTATAAGCCTTGGTTTGGATTGAGATCATTTTTGGAAAGTCCTTCGAGTGACTCGGCGACGATCCCAAACGTTTCACGTGCAATCCTCTCCGCATCACGCTCTCGAATGGCATCACGTAGTTCGGCATCCCTCGTCAACCTGAACGCAGGTTTATTGATTCGGAGTAGCGCATCAGATAGTTCTGAAGAGATTTCATGAAGGAGTCGTAGATAGAGATCGGTTGTACGAGGGTTTAAGGGTTGGTTTGAGTTGGTGAGAGGTGTGGATGCCTTGGGATGTTGACGGATCAGATCGGCAAAAGATGAGAAGAAGTCGGGCCAGTTGTTGGGATAGGATTGGAAGAATAGGAGGAAGAGGGTCTGGACGACCTTGTTTCGAAGATCTGATCGGATTTACAGCCCCCAAGTCAATTTCTTTCTTTCTTTCTTTCTTTCTTAATTTTTTGATTCTTTTCTTGAGAATGGGAGTGAAAATTACTGACAGCCCAGGCCTTGTTCTCCAGGTCCCTCGACGAATTCGCGATGGATGTAATCCCACAGTTGTTGTCGAGTGGTTTCATAGCAGGACTTGACCAAGCCGATCTCTTCTTCCGAGCTTGAAATGATTGATGGTGTGTGTGGGGATCAATATGGAAATCTATCGAGGTGGTTTTCAGAAGGGTATCACTTACTCACCTAGTTGGAAGCTGGAGCATGGTATCTACCAGTTGGAGGCCGAACAGCCTAGTCTGAGGAGGATACTTGTAGGACCAAGCCTGAGTGTGATCCTGTTGTTGTTCGTTCTGAGAGCCGGCGAGGAAGCAGATGAGACCGGGCTGCCATGAGTCCTTTGGATTTGAGCGTAGTTGCTGGAGGAAGTGGAGTCCTTCGGATTGTAGTGGCCCTGGGTTGAGGGCAGCGAGGACGGCTTGATGGATCTGTTCGTCTAGTGAGGCCATGATGGCTGACGGTCTGCTTCTCCTCGATCGGAAGGGTGCGATGAGTGTCTTGACTGTTTTGATGATTGTGGTCCAACTTGAGAATTTTCGAGATGGATGTCCTTGGGGCTGTTTTAGGCTGTTTTAGGCTGTTTTGAATATATTTATGTAGATGGTTACATAAAAACCTTCCACTTGACCGTCTTTCTCAACCTCTTTTCTAAAATAGCCAATTCAATCATCCTTCTGCCAAAAACCAAACAAACTCACGGCTGGCATAAATATGCCTTGGTCTGCCTCAGAAAGAGTTTATTATTTCTGATGGATCCATTATGGCCGGAATAATCCAGTACTTTAAGTAAATTCGAATCAAGTGATACAAAACAAAAACCGAAGGCTCGTCCAATCCAAAACATTACATTATTAAGCAAACAAATCGATTAAAATAAAGTAAAATAAAATAAAATATCTGCCGCGATTGAACACACATGAATTTGTAATAATTCAGATGCATCTTTTTTTTTGTTCCTTTCAAGAAATAGTGGCATCTAGGAGAGTGAAATATAAGAACGAGACTATCCGATTGTGTGACCTGTCTGCAACTGCTTGCGAGTATTCCCGATAGCCCTGACGACGGTGTCGGCGCGACTTCTAGGCATTTGAGTCAAGAGGACTGCCTGGCCGAAGCAAAACTCGCTTCGGAAGCGTGCCGCCCAGTATGCCGGATGAAGGTTCTTGTACCAATATCCGAGCAGGGCGACCACGTCAGTCGTTCCGTCGAGCGCCTTGCTGTGTGTGGTGATGAAGAGGAGGACGAGGTGCTGGATCGGATTGAACCGAGTCGCATCCAGTTCGCCGCCTTGCTCGGAGACGTACCCGAATAGCGGCAGAGCCGTCGGTTCTGGAGGGTTCCTGAGCGTCTCAGTAAACCAATCCAGGAAGGCCTCGTGTGCATTCGGAATCGTTGGAATCTCATATTCTTCGAAAAACTTGAGGAGCTGTTGATGGTAATGCCGTAAGGCGCCGAATAGCTGGATCAGTTTTCGCTTCAGTCCTCTCGCCGGGTATGGTCGGCCTTTGAGGCCGATCACCCGGACCGCCCAGACCGGCTGGCCCGTACTCTTCTCGGATCCGAGCTGGAGAGCCGCCCGGGCATCCTCGATAGCTTTCATCGGCCGGCCGATCGCCAAGTCAACCAACTCAGTCACTCTCTGGTGTCCCCTGATCACCCGGGCCTCGACTTCCGATGGCTCAAAGTGCTCAATGACCTTCCAGGAGTATCGTTTGTCCTTCGAGTGAGGGCTACCATCCAGTTTGACGACCTGTCGAAGGCTGACCAGGTCGAAGTTCCCCAGTTTGCTATCCGGCTTCTGTTCACCAAGTCCTTGGTCGATCCACTTGCCAGCTTTCCAGTTCCGGACTCTCTTGACCTCGGTGATCGAGTCTTCCATCCGCATCCAGAATCTGTACTCGCTGCCCTGGAAGTGTCTGAGCCACTCCTCGGGAGCATCCCGCTTGTACCAGATCCCGATCAGGCTCAGTGCCATATAATCCAAGTAGAGGTTTTCACCCTCCGGTCGCCCCTGGAGGTAATAGATCAGACGCCTCTGGGCCGGTGTGTAGCCTCTCCCCTCGACTCGCGCCCAATCGGCTGGACTGATCTCCCCACAGATCGGGGGATGGTTCTTGGTGGAGAAGATGAGCTCGTTGAGCCAATTCATCAGGGAATCATGTCTCCTGATCTCCTCTTCGACGGGGCACTGGATCTCCCTCAAGAATGCGCCATGTGCAAATAAGATACCTTTGATCAAGCTTCCGAGTAATTGGTTGATCATGAACGGAATCTGTATCCTGCCCTTAAGCTCCGGCTGAGCTGCCTGGACCGTCTGACTGGCCGCTGGGTCCCGTTGTTTCGGTAGCCGAATGATCTTGGGTAAGATCATCCACCTAGATGAGTCGGATTCAGGCTCCATATGGCGTAGGATGTATATCGGAAGATCCTTGAATGTCTCTCCCGGCTTCGTGAGCAGTTTGCCGGCGTACTTGGATGTGTAGAAATCGACCTGCTCCTTGAACAGGGTATGATATTTGATAAACAGGACCGGGTGGACTACCGCCCAATGTGTGATCGATATCATCAGGGAGAATTCTTTGGGAGGGGGTTCGTTCATATCCAATAGATCCAAGTCAAGCTTGGGGTGCAGCTGGGCAGCCTGCTCAAGCGGGACTTGCTGCTCGGTTATCTGTTCAGCCGGGACTTGCTCATGGATATATCCAACCGGAACTTGTTCATGGATATTCCCAATCGGGACTTGCTCATGGATATTTCCTACCGGGTCATGCTCAGCTAGGTGTTGGACCTTGACCTGTTCAACCGGAGCTTTCTCAGCCGATACGTCCGCAACTGATCCTTGTTCAAGCGGGAGCTCCTCAGCTGGTAGGTACTCGATCGGCACTTGTTCGGGTGGACTGGGTGGTGGTGAATGATTGAGGTCAAAGTCTTTCAAACCTGATGATACATAGTCCGAGGTGACCGGAAAGAATCATGAGTAGGAGAGCTCTGCCACAAAATAATCAACCGAAAAACTTACGTCGATGGATGTGCTGAGCCGGAGAGCAGATCGTGAAAGGCTCCGGTGGATGATGCTTCAGCTTCTGGCGGACTCGTCTTGGCTGTCTAGTTTCGTCTAACTCATTAACCAAGATGTTGAATGGGCGACTAATACCTAGGACTGCTTCTGTTGCAGGGGCTCCGCCATTCCAAGAAGAGCTCGGGTCTTGCTTGGAGAGGTCGAGGGCGGCGAGGGTAGGGCCGGCCTCGGTGAAGAGCTGACCGGCGAGGATGGGCCGGACGAGCAAGCAGACTGCCAGGAGATGTTGGGCGGATGAGTTCTTCATCCTCAACTGTGGAGGAAGGTGGGCGCGCTTGGAGCAGGCTGATCAGAGGATGGCCATGATGTCCTCCCTCAGTCAGTCAGTCCCAATACCCGCTGCAAGTCCCTCAAAACGTTTCTTGAGGGTTTCGGCACCGACTTGAGACATCCCATCACCCACCCAGGAGAGAAAGAGACCATACCCAAGGGGATCTCAGTCGACATACATACATATCTGGGAGGGGGAGAGTCGGGAGATCTGGGTCTGAGACTCCATGAGAATGTGTGGGTTTGGTTTTTTTTTTGTCAGTGTTCATGGTTTCAAGCATTCCGAATCCCAATTGCGGTCTATACAATCTGTACTACCTATTATGGAAGAACAATTTTCTGGTAAATCCTACTTTTTTGCAATTTCTTTTTTCCCAAAAAACATGTGCATGCCATTGCTCCAGGTTGATGGGTAAAGCTTCGATCAAAACGCATCAAGTGGTAAAAACAGATTTAACCCTGTTTATCTGAATGATCCATTCAAATTCAATGTGATCTCTCCC